CTAGTTAGCTTATGGGTTTTTATGCCTTTTGTCCCTTAACCTTGGTCTTAATGAGTATGAGCTACTCCATACCTTATGAGTATCATTTTCAGTCGTTTATGAGCTTGTAAAGTCATAAAAAATGGGAACTTGATCACTCCCATCCATCCATGCATGAGATCTTGAGCATTGGAGTGTGTTTTGGACTTAGGGTTTGGTCTTATGCTCTTTTAAGCCATGAAAAAGTGTAAAGTCATAGACTTTATCACTTAGGAAGTTTATTAGGTCCAGATCTAATAATTGGATGGTTGGTCTTTAGGAATTAAGAGCTTATTATTAAGTTGGAAAATCTGCGTGCGGGGCATAATATTGGCTACACTTAGAGTAGCCTAAAGTGTCCTCGGTTACATCAGAGGCTCTACGTTAGATGTAGAGCATGATGTACATTGGGCGTAGCACCAGAAGAGGGAATTTGGACAAATTGGGTTATTAGTCAAGTGGAGTGGGTTCTAGTCTTGGAAGGGTAAACTGGTCTTTTACCCCAGAGGAAGAGTGATTTTGAGATAAGGCCCTTGAGTGTGGATTATTACCTTAATTTCTAATTAGGGTCTTATTATGTATATGATTAGTGTGAGGAGTTCTAGTATCGACGGCGCGAGCGTGAAATTTGTCTGTCTTCAGATTGTGGTTAGTCTTCTCACTATATACTGTGTAGGATGCTAGCTGTCTTTGTGACTCTTGCATTTGCATGTTGGGTGGGGCCTATTTGTATGTTGGGCTAGGACCATTTGTATGTTGGGTTGGGTTGGGCCCGTTTGTATGTTGGGCGAGGCCCGATGTTATATATGGTATGTGGTATTTTGGGGAACTCACTAAGCTTTGTGCTTATGGTTTTTTGGTTTAACATTTTTCAGGTACTTACAGTTCTAAAGGGAAGGGTCCGAATTGACTGCATAGTGTTTCCCCCCTTTGACTTTCCATATTGACGACTTTTATTATACACTGATATTTGAGATACATTATATTATGTTTTAATTTCGGAACAAATGATGTATGATTTTGAGGACTTGAAAATCAAAAAAAATTATCAGTATTTTGGAGTGTTACACATTCATATGAAATCTAATTAGACAAATATGTTAAATGACAAAAAAATCACAAATAACATCTTCCGATGATAATGTTGGATTAAGGTGTCTAAGCCAATAACTAAATTAGTATATTTTTGTAATTAGAAGCAAAGTCGTTTGTCGGATGCCCTTATAACTAGAACTTGATTAGAATTACATTTATAGAGAGAGAATGATTTATTAGATTATTATATGATTAATAAAATTGTAACATTCAAGTTTTGGAAAGTTCCCTTTTAGCCCTTTAATGAAAATTGTTAACATTTTGGTCCCTGGCTAGTACGCGGGGCGTACTCTATGAGTACGCTTAGCGTACTAGCCCATTCCTGATCGCGGGTTTCACCCACGAACGCGGGGCGTACGTGGAGTACGCATGACGTACGTGGTGCAAGGGCAAACCCTAATTTTTAGGGTTTGCACCCTATTTAAACATTATTATAGCACCTCTTGGACATGTTTGACCAGCCTCCATCTCCCTTTAACCTGAAAACGAAACCCTAAATGCATTTGGTGAGTTTTGAGCTTGAAAGTGTGTTTGTTGGTGTCTTGTGGTGAAGAAGAAGAAAAGGAACACTTGGATGGATAGCTTGAACTTGTAGATCTAGAGTTACCTTCACATTTGCAAGACTTTTTAGGTAAAAAGCTCTCACCTTGATGGTATTTTGTGCTAGATCTAGTTTATGGTGTTATTTATGCACTTTTGAGTCTTTTGTGTTAAAGTTGGGCTTTTGATCTACTCCAGAAGCATTGGATGCTAGATCTTAACTCCATTTAGGCCCCATGTTCATAAAAATGCAAACTTTATGGAGGATATTAGTCCATGCAAGCATTAAGATCTTTATTAAGCTCCTTTTTGAGCTTTGAGTCCCATTAAGCCATGCGTGAGTGTAAAGTTGCAAACTTTACGTGATAAGTCACCCTTAGGAACCGGATCTGAGAGTTTGGAAAAAGGTCTTAACTATTTAAGTGCTTAATGAAGAGAACTAGTGGTCAGGGGAGTGCGCTGGGCGTATGAGCTGAGTATGCCCCACGTACTCAGCAGATGGGCATTTGGCTCGACAATTCTTGGTTTTGGGCCATAGTTTGGGTTTTTAAGTTTGTGCCTTGTTGGGCCATTAGACTTTTGTTTTGGACTTTGACTAGTATGTCGGGCTTCCTTGGATTTAGGGCGATAATGGGTTTTGGCCCAATTTGGAAGATTGGGCCATAATTGGGCTTGGGGTTGCCATTTAGGATTTGGGCCTTTTGAGTAGTGGAGTTGGGCCTTGGCTTTGGCCCAAGTTATAAAAATGGTAAAATGGTCTTTTACCCTGGTTATGGGCTAAGTACATAGATTCTTGGTTATGGGTCGAGATCCAATTAATAATTGGATGTTATTTTGATGATGATAGCATGGAGATTTTCCGGACCAGCAGACGAAGATTCATTTGAGTGTTCAGCAGCTAGATGTGAGTTTCCTCACTGTGTTTAGCGGGTTGAAGGCACCAATCCATGCTAGATGTCTGCGTGACTCTTGCATTTGTTATGTGCTTGTATGTTTACCGGGCGGGGCTCGATGACTATCCTATATGCTATTTATCTTTATGATTATTGCATGTGTTATATGATTATATGTTTATATGTTAATATCTTAATTAGCAATCTAGATTAAACATGAGTTGATGTCACATTACATCTTACAACATACTATGTGAATATGATTTGGAACCGGAAATGTCATTCCTAAATTCTAGATAATACTTTGTCTTTTATTCATAACTTTGTCTTTTAACAATTGATAGCAGCGTGTCATGTGAAAATATGGTTAAACATTAAGACCCGTATCTTAGTGGTTCGATCATGCTCGCTCTATAATATCTCTTAGTATATGCTAGCAGTGACTTGTTTTTAATATTTATTATTTTATCCATTTATTTGTTGGTTTGACAACCAAATAGATGATATATTTATGAAATGGAGATTGAAAAATGGATTCCATATGAGTTATTCCAGGTTTTGGATATATATATATATATATATATATATATATATATATATTATTGTGAGATGGTAATTAAAAACATATTTGAAAATGGATCCAAAATGGATCCGATGAGATGGAAATAATATGAACTTGGTGGAAGGGATGAGGGGAAGAGGGTGGGTTGTCGAACAAAAAATGCAATATAAAAAACAGTTTAAGTATCACAAACCATTTGAAGAACATGCACAAACCAAAAGAATCATTTGTGTAATTTTCTATATTTTATAATTGCATCTTATATTATCTTTATAGTATCCCATAGGTGGCTGGGTTGGGGAATTGTTATAGGATAGGCACATAGAGGAGGGTCTGTATATAGTTGCCTAAACCTAAGCCTTAAGATGTGGATTTTGCCAACTATTGCCTCAACCTAAGTCTTAAGATGTGGATTTGGTCCACTATTATTTAAGTTTGAAAGCAAGAGGTATTAATTGGTAAAAAGTAAACACACAACTACTTTTGTAACGAGTTTAATTTTTTTCTTAAAGATATACAAAATAAAAATTTATTTGTTATTTACAAAATTTAATATTAATTAAGACAAATTAAAACGTCTATGTTGTTATTTTTTATAGTATATAATATGGTATTATGGCTAATAGTTGAAGAAGTAAAGTGATATTACCTTGGCTTAAAGTGTGTATGAGATATAAAATGATTATGATTTAAGATGTAATTGTCTTTTAATTCAAAACTTTCCAAACTCTATCTCATGGGGTATGGTCTCCAAAAACTATTGCTATACTTAATGCGAGCCGAAGAGTGCATTGTTTTAGTTGGTGGGAGACTCAAAGTCGATTGATGTATCGAAATGTCAAACATATTGCCTTTTAAAACCATTTATGGATATTTTCGAACTAAGAAAGAAAAAAAAAGAGAAAGATAAACATAATTAAAAGGTTTGGTATATTAAGATGAGAGGGTGGGGGTACTATATATAATTATAATATACTACAATTTTTTATATAATTAAAATTATTAAATAAATTATATTAAATGGTAAAATACTAATTTCATATTAATCTACAACAAAATAAAACCATAGTAACCAATCATGCAGGTGTTTAAACCCACATGGACATCAAGACAAAAATAATTAGCTAGGGATTATTACTACAACTTTTAATAACTACAGGGGCCATTTATGTAATTTCGTCTAGTTATTTCATGCCAAATGATTTTAAAAGGAGAATCACTTTAAAATTTAAAACTAAAAGGGTGAAAAGGCGAAATATAGATATATATACATGTGCGTTTGTTTTTTGTGCATGAATTGATTTTGACATTCGGGAGAAGAAATGAATAAGAGAGAGGGTATTTGATCCACAATTGGGGATGGATGGTATAAAAACCACTTGCATTCATCAACAAGAAAACACGCATGAACATGTCTCTCAAAGAATCAAATGCTTAAATTCAGGGCACAAATTAACCCCTTCTTCCTATTTTACCTCCCACATGCCGTCCCTTTGATCTCCGATTGCCGCCTTCCTCAACCTGCATTTCCCAGGTATTCATTTTTCTTTCAATTTGCTCCATTCTGTCATCCAAAATCATTAATTGTAGCTGTAGTTTGATCACCAACAATCATTAACTGTTCAATCTGAATTAGGGTTACTTTCGATTTCGGAATATAAGATTTAAGGGCTTTGATTCGATGATGTAGTCATCGTTCATAAATGCTTTCATAATGATTTGTGTATTTTGTCTTCGATTTCTACAGCCTTGACTCCTGTATGGTATTTGATTGATCTCATCGAGGAAGTTTTATTTATGCTCTCGAGACATACAAATTAAAGAGCTACCCTTGGTGTGCTCAATCAAATACATGCCATTTTGGGGGTAAAGGTTTGGTTCCGAATGCACGCATGGCTGCCTCAAATGGATTCATGCATAACTTATCTATGGCTGCCTGCGAATGGTTCTTGATGTTTCTAATGTTTATCGATGCTGCGTTGGGTTTTATCCTCACAAAGTTCGCTCATCATTGTGAACTACAAACGCCTTGCCTGTTTTGCATGAGGCTTGACCATGTTTTCAGTAACGAAAACCCTGGATCCTATCTAAGCTTGTTCTGCTATCATCATCGAGCAGAGATTTCATGTTTGATATCTTGTGACCTTCATGAGAAGCTTGTGGATGTCCGTGAACTATGTGATGATTGTTTCATGTCAATAATGAACCGAAACCAGTGTAGCCATGGATCTTCCAAGGGTAAAATGGGAATCAAAGGGTTTCAAAAGCCATTTCTGAACCGGAACCTTGTTCGTGGGCCTTCAAATTCAGGAACCTGTTCATGTTGTAAAAGACATTGGAATGGAAAACCAAGTTCCAGAAGATTAATCCAACCAGGTCCAGCTCCATTGGGTGGTGGGCCCACAGTCACCATGAAACCACCATTGCCAAGGATTGCAGGCCACAGCCGCTATCGTCGCCGGAATGTTTTCAAGAGGGATGGTGATAGAATTTCAGGCGCCTCCACTCCTTGTCATGTTGAAGATAGTCTCAGTGTGGACACTGATTTGGACTTGGATGCTTTATCTGATTTCGGTTGTGCTGATTATAGGTTGAATTCCGATTCCGACTCTGAGTTCTCGTTTTATGAAGAGGATGACACTTTGAAACCTGAAGTTCTTGGAAGAAAAGCAGATTCCGGAGATGATTCTTCTGTTAGAAAAGGTGATTCCAGGGACGATTCTTCTGTTAGAAAAGGGGATTCCAGGGATGAATGTATTGTTAGAAAAGGGGATTCCGGGGATGAATCTAGTGTTAGAAAAGGGGATTCCGTGGTTCGAACAAAACCTTCATCTTTGAAATCCGATGTTTCAATTGAAGAAATCAAGTCTAGGTCTATTTCTATAACATCGAGGGGACAAGATGTGAATGTGAATACTACTCATGTTGATGATGTGAAAGAAAACGGTTCTATTCATGATAAATCATTAAAATCGGATAAAATTCTTGATCATGAGTCAGATGGATATGAATCTCCGGATGCAAGCAATGTTAGTGAATATAAGGGTGAAGGTGTTGTGGAAAAGCTAAAACGACAGGTGGAGGGTGACCAACAACGGTTGCATTTATTACATAAGGAACTAGAAGAAGAAAGAAATGCTGCAGCCATAGCAGCAGATGAGGCCATGGCCATGATCACAAGGTTGCAGGAAGAGAAATCATCTTTGCATATGGAGGCTTTGCAGTATTTGAGAATGATGGATGAACAAGCAGAGTATGATATGGAAGCTCTAGACAAGGCTAATGATCTCATTGCTGATAAAGATAAAGAAATTCAAGATTTGGAAGCTGAGTTGGAGTATTTCAGAAGCCGATATGAAGATGAGTTAATGGGGAACAACACCATGGTTGAAACCCAAACCCAAAATCATATAAAAAATGGGAACTCAAAGTCTCCTGCTTTAGGGCTTGAAGATGAGAAAAAATACATTTTACAGAGTTTATCAGAGTTAGAGAAAAAGTTTATGTCGAATGGTAATGTAGAAAGGGTAAAAAAGGAAGATGAAAACGGGAGACATATGTCGAATGGATTTGACGTTAGTACCCTTGAGAGTGAAATTTTGGAACTTAACGAGAGGTTGAAAGCACTTGAGGCTGATAAGAGTTTTATTGAGCATGCGTTTAATACCCTTACCCTTCAAAGTAATGGGGGATTAGAATTTATTCAAGAAATAGCTCATCACCTACATGATTTGAGGAGGAGTAGGTTTCAATTTGATCATACAACATAGAAGATGCCAATCTGTTGCTTCAAGATGTCAATCCTTCAACAAGATTAAGGTATGCTCATAAATTTACTACATTTATAGCAAGATTACCAGATTTTTGTAGCATAATCTTTTTGGTATGGAAATAGATCATGATTATTATTGAAACCATAATTAAGTCTTCCTACCAATAACATTATTACAAAAACCCTTCTAATTTTGAATTATAGGTTTAAATAAAACACTTGACACATTAATTGATGCTTTCAGACGCATGCTTGCTCTAAAGGCTTAAATTATCAAGAATCAACACAAAAAAGAGCAGTGGAGAATGGTGAATTGCCATCAAGAAAAAGTTGGAACCAAGTTAGGAAAGCCTTTACCTTGTTCAGTGTTCCATTCAGCTGTATGTTTATACGATAAAAAAGAAAAAGAAAAATGTATTTTTAGTTTGTATATTCTTTAAACGATAGTGTTCCATTTAGCTGTTTATATAGAATGATTATGACATTTGTACACAAATTCTTTCTTTTTGGTCGAGAATCTTGAAGTCTTCTTGAGTGAATTGAAGTCTTGAGTATGTTTTTTCATATCTTAGGGGGTGTTTGGATAAATAGTTTTTAGCTTATTAGCTTATTGCTTATTTGTTTATTGTGGTGGGAATAAGCATTTTTTTAAAATGTGTTTGGATTAGCTTATTGTGGTGGGAATAAGCAATAAGCAATAAGCATTTAAGTGTTTGGCAAAATAAAACAGCTTATATGAGTAAAATGACCAATAAGCAACAAGCAATAAGCAATAAGCATTCCCCCCCTTTGCTTATTAAAATTAGCTTATTTTGCTTATTCCTACCACAATAAGCTGATTTTTTAAGCATCCTATCCAAACACTTAAATTAGCTTATTGTGGTGAGAATAAGCAATAAGCTAATAAGCAGCCATTTTTTCCCTATCCAAAAATAGACAAAAGTGCAAAAAATGGTACCCATGGTTTGTCGAAAATTATCATTTTAGTCCAAAAGTTTTGGACTAGTACTACTAGTAAAATAGGAATTTTATTTGGTTGGTCTAGAACCTTCTAAAAATACCTAAAATGACTGATTTATATTTTTAATTTTATTTTGTTTTTACATTTTCTTTTTATTACAACAATTAACAAATCAAAAATAAAATAATACCCATACCCCACCCACTACCATATTTGTAAAACCCTAGTCTTCTTGTAGTAATACAAAACCTAGAAATTGTCATCTTCACCTCTTTGGAATATTAACACCTAACACTCTTTTATTTATGTACAGTCATTCAATTTTGCATTGTATATCTAGATAGAATCAATCACATAAAATTAGTCACTCAATTAGCTGTAATTGATCCTAAAAGACAGGATCCTTAATATTGAATTATTCAACCTTTTGGTTAACATTCTTATATGGTATCAATTAGGAAACCCTAAACACCATGACTGCCGAAACTCCTTCTTCTTCATCCATGACAATCGATGACAATTCTTCCCCCTCTGTTGTTCAAAAATTCTCTCTCAAAAAATCACCATCATCTCTCACCCTAGTTCAATTCCCACATTCTCTTAGATTGTCATCTACCAACTACATGAGTTGGAAAACACAGATTGAAGTTCTCCTTCACGGATTGGATCTCTACAGATTCATTGATGACACCAATCCTCCACTAAAACCCAGTATCACAGATGGTGTCTCCACTCCTCACGTTGATCACCAAACTTGGTTTTGCCAGGACACATTGCTCTTTGGTGCTCTTGTTGGCACTCTTTCCCCATCCATCGTTCCCTTAATCACTAATGCCTCTTCTTCCTTAGAGGCATGGAACATTCTTTCCAACACATATGCAATCCATCCCATGGCCATATCAAACAACTACAACATCGGTTAAAACAAGCCACCAAAACACCTGACCAATCAATCACCGACTATATGCAATCAGCCAAAACCATTGTGGATGAATTAAGCATTCTGGGCAAGAAGACGGATGTTGAAGATATTACTGATGCGGTTTTAAACTATCATTGATATTGTTCATGCTAGAGATACTCCAATCTCTTTTCATGAATTACATGAAAAACTCATTAATCATGAACTCTCCATGCTCCAGCAACCCTCTACAACCAGCAATCTCCATCAACCAACCACTGCCTTTGTTGCTAACAAACACCAACCAAATAAATCTTGGAATAACAAAGCACATACCACATCTCATGCCTTACTTCCCACCCCCACTGGAACACCTCGCCAATTTCTTGGCAAATGTCAGTTCTGCTTCACAAAAGGACACTCCCTCTCTTCCTGTTACGCCTTCAAAAACAAATGCCCACAAGTAAACTTGCCACCCTTACCAAAGAACAACTCCAATCCACAAGAAAATGTTATGACTTCCATGAACCTTGGTCAGAACTCCAACTGGATCTTCGACAGTGGTGCTTCTCACCACATCACAAATGATCTCAGTGCCCTCTCCCTGCATACACCTTACGATGGCCATGACGAGCTAGTCATTCGTGATGGTTCGTCTCTTAAAATTACTCATGTTGTCTCTTTAACTCTCAAATTCTCCAATATTTCTTTTATTCTGACTATTGTTCTTTGTGTTCCCCATATCTCAAAGAACATCATCTCTATTTCTACATTATGTATCGACAACAACGTACTAATATAATTATTCATTTCTTCTCTTTTTAATTTCTTCATCAAGGACTTCAAAACCAACCAAACACTACTCCAAGGCACAACTATTCATGGTGTCTATCAACTTTGTTCCACTACCCAGCCTCTCACCTTCCATGCACAATCAAATAAGTCAACTTCTTGGCATCATCGACTTGGACACCCACATGCTCAAGTCTTACAACACTTAGCTTCTATTTTTCCTATTATTAATACTATGAAAAACCATTGTAACTCTTGTTTTGTAACTCTTGTTGCATCAATAAAAGTCACAAGCTTCCTTTTCATAGTTCTTCTCTCACATCTACTTCACCCCTTCGGTTAATATTTTCTGATGTCTGATGTATGGTCATCCCCTATCGTCTCTTTTGATGGGTTCAAATATTATATCATTTTTGTTGATCACTTCATAAAAAACATGGATTTATCCTCTAAAACACAAATCGGACTCTCTCACCACCTTCATCCGTTTTCAGAACCTAGTTGAAATTTTTTTTATCAGACAAAAATCAAACAGTTTTTCTCTGACAATTGAGGTGAATACATTAAACTCGCCTCTCACCTTGCACCTTGTGGTATCTCTCCTTTCATTTCTCCTCCCCATACCCCTGAACATAATGACTATGCTGAACGAAGACATCGTCACATACTTGAAACTAGTCTATCCTTACTTTCTAATGCAAACATGCCACTCCAATTCTAGCCCTTTGCAGTCACCACCGCCACATACCTCATAAATAGACTACCAACTTCCGCTCTCCAAAATGATTCCCCTTATCTTAGACTATTTAAACACCAACCAAATTACAACAAATTAAGATGTTTTGGTTGCTTAGCTTACCATTGGCTACGTCCCTACTCTAAACATAAACTCCAATCTCGCTCTAAACCCTGTATCTTTATAGGATACTTGTCTTCTCAAAGTGCTTATCGCCTCCTTGATCCTCTCACAAACAAAACTTACACATCTCGTTATGTTCACTTTATTGAAAACGTTTTTCCTTACACATCCATAACCAAATCTCACAACCCACCACCTCCACAACCTAACACCTGACTTCAAGTTGACTTTATTCCCCTCCCAAATACAGCCTCCCCTACCCCATCTAACGAAAACAACCCCTCTTCCTCTCACGAGAACAACCCTCCATCATCTCCTTCAATATCTTCTCCTCCTATCTCACCCACTAATCCCTTATCTCCAAATGATAACCCTCTCACTCCTCTTCACAACCCTCCGTTACCACCTAGAATAACCATACAAAATACCAAACCAAACTCCAAATATCACAACAATGATTTCGTCCTTTATGAATCAATCGTCCAACCATTTCCAGAACCACAAACAATCACATAGGCTCTCAAACAGCCTCAATGACATAAAGCCATGCAAGATGAACATGATGCGCTAATCAAAAACCAAACTTGGTCTCTTGTTCCACTCGAATCTGCCCCAATCTCGTTGGTTGCAAATGGGTTTTTAGAACCAAGTTCAAACCTGATGGCACAGTGGATCGTCGTCTCAAGGCACGACATGTTGCCAAAGGTTTCCATCAAAGACCTGGTTTAGACTATGTTAAGACTTTTAGCCCGGTAGTAAAACCAACCACTCTTAGACTCATTCTTTCTCTTGCATCCTCTCAAAACCGGTGTCTACGCCAACTAGATATCAACAATGCATTTCTTCAAGGCACTCTCACTGAACCGGTTTTCATGTCTAAACCACCTGGATTCATTGATCCATCCTTCCTACACCATATATGCAAACTAAATAAAGCTATTTATGGTTTACGTCAAGCATCTCGTGCGTGGTACAACAAACTCAAAGCTTTTTTCCTATCATAAAATTTCAAACTCACTATCTCTGATCCTTCCTTATTTGTTCGCAAATCTACCACCTCACACCATCCGCATCCTTGTGTATGTTGATGATATCATCATCACCGGACCTAACCCTTTTGCTATCTCTTCTTTCATCACTTCCCTTGCCAATCGTTTCTCTCTAAAAAACTTAGGCAAACTCTCCTACTTTCTTGGTATTGAGGTTCTACCTCACTCTGATGGTTTGTTTCTTTCTCAAACCAAATACATTCTAGATATTATCACCAAAGTCAACATGAGTAGTTGCAAGACGGCCTCTACACTAGGGATGAGATTTAAAACCGGAAAACCGGACCGGAACCGGAACCGTTAGAACCGGAATATGTAAAACCGGTCCGGGTCCCGGGTTTAAAGAGGAACCGGAACCGGTTTCTATAAAAAGTTTAAAACATGCATATCTCATTCGTTTGAAGTCGGATTGGCATGAGGTTTTTTCCATAGTATAATTTATAGTTTGTACATGATTTTAGACTATAATTTTGTCATTTTTGGGTTTATATTCATTGACTTATAGTCTCTCAAAGTCGGGATATCAAAGCTGTAAATTTTATGTTTTTCAGCTTTTTTTTTATTCTGTGATAGTTTTAAAACATGCATATCTCATTCGTTTGAAGTCGGATTGGCATGAGGTTTTTTCCATAGTGTAGTTTATAGTTTGTACATGATTTTAGACTATAATTTTGTTATTTTTGGGTGTTTATTCATTGACTTATAGTCTCTCAAAGTCGGGATATCAAAGCTGTAAATTTTATGTTTTTCAGCTTTCTTTGTATTTTGTAATAGATTTAAAACATGCATATCTAATTGGTTTGAAGTCGGAATAGCATGCGGTTTTTTCCAAAGTGTAGTATAGAGTTTGTACATGATTTTAGACTATAATTTTGTCATTTTTGGTTTCATATTCATTGATTTATAGTCTCCCAAAGTTGGGATATCAAAGTTGTGATTTTTTTTTCTCAGCTTTATTTTGTATTTTGTGAAATTTTAAAACATGCATTCGACCCACTTTACCCTGTTCCCCTGGTTTTTAGGTTTTAGACCCACTTTACCCGGTCCCATTCGACCCACTTTGATATTTCGGGTTTTCCGGTTCTAGACCCACTTTACCCGGTACCTTACCCGGAACCGAACCGGAACCGGTTCCTATATACCGGTCCGGTTTCCGGTCCTAAAAAATCTCGTTAACCGGTTCCCGGGTTTTCTGGGTCCGGGTCTACCAGTCTAGGTTTGGACCCACTCTCATCCCTACTCTACACCTTCGACTACTTCTATTCACATTAACGCTACTAATGACACACCCATACCAAATCCTACAGACTACATATCTATAGTTAGTAGTTTACAATATCTATCATTAATACGCCCTGATGTTGCGTTTTCTGTCAACAAATTATCTCAATTCATGCATTGCCCAACTGCCATTCATTGGGTTGTCCTAAAAAGGTTACTAAGATACCTTTACGATACCATTCACCATAGATTACTCATACGACACAATTCCCTGCTATATCTTCATGTATTCATGGATGCGGATTAGGCAAGTGACAAACAAACTTATCGAAGTACCACATGATATCTTGTATATCTTGGTTCCAACCCAGTTGCATGGAGCTCACAACGACAACCCACCTTAGCAAGATCATCAAGAGAGGCATAATTCCATGTTGTTGCCTCAACCACAACTGAAGTTCATTGGATTATTTCACTGCTACATGAACTTGGCTACAAATCCAACGTTACCCCAACCATTTCTGTGACAATTTAAGTGTCACTCATTATTCTGCAAATCCGGTATTCCACTCAAATTGTCCTTGATTTTCACTTTGTTCATGAAAAAGTCCAAGAAGGGTCTATACGTGTCACACATATCAAAGGAGATGGAGTAAATTACACGAATGGTCCCTATGGTTTAGGGTAATTTGCGTGTTTGGTCCCTAACTTATTTTTTTAACTCGGAAGGTCCCTACTGTTTGTTTTTGTTACACGCTTGGTCCCTGTCTTACCTAAAAAGACTATTTTGTCCTTGATTTTTTAATTTATTTAAATAAACACACCCCAACACCACTCCGCTCAACTTACTTTACCTACCCCATCTTTTCTCCCTATTTAAATAATAGTCTTTTTTAGGTAAGATAGAGACCAAACGCGTAATAAAAACAAACAATAGGGACCAAGCGCATAACAAAAACAAACAGTAGGGACCTTCCAAGTTAAAAAAATAAGTTAGGGACCAAACGCGCAAATTATCCCAAACTATAGGGACCATTCGTGTAATTTACTCAAGTAGATGATCAACTTGCAAATGTTCTAACCAAACCATTGTTAAAACAC